AATTATGCAAATAGAGTAGTTAAAATGTCTATTCCCTCTGACCCAGAGATTCCATTGTTAGGCATATAACCCAAAGAAGTTACTGATAAAAAGAGAGGCTTCATAGTGCAAAATATTTGTAGCAACACTCTCTGACTATATCTCCCCTTCAGGGTCCTAGGGGCAATTCTCACTCCACTCTTAATCTGAAGTTGTACTTCCTTTCCACTCCACACCAGATGCCTCTTCCAGAATAAAATGATCACTTCTAATCTTCTCACTGTTCTACTAATTCAGTTTTGGATTCTCTAATGCCACCCCACCTCCCTCAGCCTCCTCTCCCCTCTGATTGGAGGGCTGGAGAGTAGAGTACTAAGGTCTTCCCAAAGAGGGAGGGCAGAAATGGCCTGTCAGCTCACTCCACTCTTCTTCTGCAGCTCGGCTTGGTTTCACCAAACAAGATGGAACAAGATGCCCCTGCATCAGGTACCCTTGATGTCTTGTCATCACCTCACATTGCTGGTTTCCTTTTGTGTCTTGTCTTCCTCTATTAGATTGTAAATTCCTTGAGGGCAAGAACTGTCTTCTTATTCTTATTTGTAAGCACTTAGCTTAGCACAGTGCCTGGCACATAGTTGGCACTTAATAAAGGGCTATTGTATAGTAATTTTAGTTGTCTTTCTCATATAATAATGGCTCAACTCTCCATTCTGGTGTGTTTCCCCAACTCTAAACTGCCAACTCCAGTTCCACGTAACCAGTAACATCAATATTGTTTTTATAAAGGGATATTTACCTTGAAGATATAGCAAGAACAGAAGTCAAACATTTCCTTCCCCCACCCAGCCTGGGGGAACACTCTCCCCGACTACACAGCCCCTGGGAGAGTGGGCTCATACAAAGCAGTTTCTACACAGTTTCAACATGACAAGTTCACTTACAAGTGTGGCATGGTAAATGGATACCTCTACTTTTACATGGTGAATGTGTTCTTGGTTTCAAGATAGCTCAAGGAGAAGGGTGTACAGTGTGTTCAGGGAAGACTAGTACCTCTGGTGTGAGGGCTGCTGAGCCTTTTTTTCAGGGCTGCTTTCCGCTTTTGGTGTCCATCAGTGAGTTAGGGAGGTGTCTACCCCAAACATGTGAAGACTTCCTCAGCCGAATAGATAGATGTGAACAATTTGTTCCAATGGGTCATGAAGGTGGCAGAAGCAGGCACGTGGAGCACGTACAGCATGGTTAGACATTGAAGATGCCACGGTCATGTGCTGCATCCCAGGCAATACCAGTCATATTGACTTTTGTCTTGCCACTAGACTTCAATGACTCTGGAAGAAAGAGTGAGGCCAACAACTTTGTACAACTCTGCCTCAATTAAATCTAATTTATATGTAAGTCAAAAAACATCACCCTATACCATTTTACCATTTTACATTTTACTATTTCATTATTTTATTATTTTACTTGTACTCGAAGTCCTGTGGCAAATGGCAAGTGGTGAAACAGCAGACATAAATACATTGGGAGCTATAGCTGCACACAGGCAGCCCTGGTATAGGGTCATCTTCTCACCAGATCGTAGCAGCACTGGAATTGGGCAGTCCCTTAGATGTCTGGGTAGCCTTTTTGAAGGCCCACACTGCTCACTTCCTGGCATGAGGAAGGGGCTAAAAAAGTGCTCTAAAAATTGTCTGCTTCATTTAACCTAACCACCACAGAAAGTAGGGATACTACAAAAAGTTTTATGAAGATGATTCTACTCATCATTGGTGTGTGGAATATGTGCATGCTTATGGACATCATGAAATCCTGTAGACCTGAAAGACAAACAGTTCTTGTTGGGAGAGAGCTCAGCAGGTATCGCATCCAAATAGCAGCCCTGACTGCTGTAAGGCTGGTAAATGAAGGCTGGCTTACTAAAGTCAGAACTGGATACACATTTTTGTGGAGTGGTTGCTGTGATGAGGAGTGCCATGAAGCTGATGTAGGTTTTATAATAAAATCTAATTTAGTCAACAAGCTTGTATGCCTCCCCAAAGAAGTAAATGACAAGTTCATGACAATGTAATTGCCATTTGCATGCAAGGGCCATGCAACCATCTTCAATGTGTATATTCTCACCATGACAAACCGTGATGAGGTCAAAGAAAAATTTTATGAAGACTGAGAGACCCCCATTATCGGTGTGCTGAAAGAGGACAAACTTGTAATTCTGGGTGACTTTAATGTCACAGTAGGTACAGACTGCCAGGCATAGCAGGAAATCCTTGGGAGGAATGGAGTTGGGAACAATACCAGCAACAGTCACTTACTTGTGAGTTGTGACTTGAAGACTTGTGCATCTCATGACCTTCTCATCACCAACACTGTTTTCCGTTTATCTAAATGCAATAAAACTTCATGAATGTACCCTCACAGAAAACATTAGCATTTAGTAGACTATGTCATTGGAAGGAGAAGAGACAGGATGTGAGAGTGACGAAGGAGATATGTGGCACAGAGTGCTAGACTGATCATAGACTCATCCTCTCCAAGCTAAAAATTCACATTCAACAAAATCAGAGGTCCCAAGGCAAGATGACGACCAGAAGACTTGATGACAATAGATAAGAGTGCTTCTCCATGTGGAAACAGTTTGTTGCTGACTTGGAGGGAAAACTGAGCCAATACCCAATTGATAACAGAGGAGCAGAAAAGGAGTGGGCAGCTTTCAGAGATTTAGTGTACAGCACCATATTTACTCATCTGGGCCAGAACGCTTACAAACATCAGGATTGGTTTGATGAAAATGATGGTGAAATTCAGAAGCTACTAAATGAAAAATGAGAACTCCACAGGTGTTGCCAGCAGGATAGCTCATCTGTCTCTAAGAAGGCAGTGTTTCACTACATCAAAAAGCAAAGTATAAACAAAGCTTAGAGAGATGCAGGATTCTTGGCTCAGTAAGAAGGCAGATGACATTCAGTTTTACACTGAAAGCAACAATCCAAAGTGCTTCTATGATACCCTGAAGGCTATTTATGGACCAAAGACATATGGCGCCTCTCAACTACTCAGCACTGATGGAGCCACACTGGTACTGGAAATATAGACCAAACACTTCCATACTGTCTTCAACAGACTAGTGTTCTCATCAATCAATACTGAAGCTATTGACCATATGCCTCAGTTTGAATTCAATCCCTCTCTAACCAAATTGTGAATGCAGAAGAGGTTTTGAATGCTATTAGGCTCCTCTCATGTGGCAAAACACTTGGTGCTGATTCCATCACAGCAGAGATTTACAAGGCAGGGGGTCCGCTGCTTGTGTAAAAGTTGACTGAAATCTTCCAAGTTATATGGCAAGAGGAGGTGATCCCTCAGTAGATCAAGAATGCCTCCATTGTCCAACTCTATAAAGGAAAAGGAAATAGGCTGTCCAGTGACAATTGCAAGGGTTATTTCTCTCTTAGTCTGGCAAAATTCTGGCCAGAGTCCTCCTTAATAGGTTGATCCTTCACCTGGAACTCCAAGTTCTTTTCCCTTCTGAGGAGGAGCTGATAGGGTATTTAAGTGTTTCTCTCCACTAGAAATAAGTAGCTGTGCTGAGCCAGTTGTGTCCTTATCATTTTCTCTTGTGATCCATGTTGTTGTCCTTTTCAAAGAGTACTAATGACATCATGCAATGATGTCTTGACTTGCCATGAATTAGATTTAAGTCAGGCATAGTTGCACAAAGTCATTTGCCTCACTCTCTCTTCCAGAGTCATTGAAGTTCATGGCAGCACAAAAGTCAAGATGACTGGCGATGTCCCAGGATGCAATGGATGACCTTGGCTTCTTTGATGTTTGACCAAGCTCTAAATGCCCCATAGTGCTTGCTTCAGTTGCCTTCATGGCTATTGGAACAAATGGTTCTCATCCACCCATTCTACCAGGGGAAGTCTTTAGGGATAGACATCCTTCTAACTCACTGATAGATTTGAGGCCTGTTGGTTACTCTCAATCTGATTTAGCCCATCTGCCAAGACAATTTACCATTGTGTGGCCACTAAGCATACTACAGCTTCTTGGAGCCACAGATGAGAGTTGGGTGTCATGTGGACATCAAAGATGGATGAGGAACCCTGAAAAGGGCTTAGGAAACCCTCATGCCAAAGGTGCTGCTCCTCCCTGAACTAGGTAAGCTCCCATGGACTATAATACTTGAGGGGAAGTTAGGCCAGGATAGATAGGAGATACTCAAGCATTAAATTTTAAAGACAAAAAAAAAAAGGCAAACAATGCCAGTGGAAAGGAAAATTGGTATTTGTCTGGAGAAACCAGCAGATGAAAGCCAGGCCGGGTCACAGAATTTTCAGGACCTTCATCATGACCTCAATTCTGAAACAGCAGACCAGGGTTTAGAATACAATCTCTGGCACTTGTACACAATTTTGTGGGAAGGTAGGTGAGCTATTTAAAGGGATTGAGTTAAAAACTTTGGCCTTAGGATGAAAGGTAGGTAGTTACAGTAGGTAAACTGAGGTAGGGCTTTGACATCATGAATGGACAATAATTTCTTAGCCAAATGTTTACATTTCTGAAAAGGGACCTATCTGCCCAAAGTTCTAGTTCTAGGCCTACCTAGCTTTGTGACCTTGGGAAAGTCACTTCACATCTGCAGACCTCAGTTTCCTCATCTGTCATATGAGATGGATAGATCATAGGACCACAGATTTAGAGCTGGAAGTGACCTTAGAAATCATCTCATACAACTGCTTCATTTTAAGGATAAAGTAACAGGTATGGAGAGATGAGTGACTTGTCCAAGGCCAGAGCAAGGATCTGAATCCAGGTCCTCTGACTCAAAAGCTGGGACTCCTTCCCCTGTGCCACATTGTCTTAAGTCTCTTCCAACTTTAGATCTGAATTACTTTAATTGAAAAATAACAAAACAGACACAAGTACAGTCAAGGATAGTGTATAGCATTAAATCCACATTGACCATAAACAAATATAGTCAACCATTTTGAAAATACCAAAAGACAACACGATACATGCCAAGTGTTTATAAAATGTTTTATTTATTTTCCAATGCAAATACTGCTTTGCAGACTGCCAGGACTACTTGGTAAGAAATGCTTATCAGTCCACAGCTTCCGAGAGGTGTTTCATTGGATGACTGTTATTCGTGGCAGAAAAGTGGCATTTAAAAAAAAATACTAATTACTCTTAAGCTACAGGGAATGAGCGTCACTGAGATAGGGTTGAAACTGTTATCCAGCTTCCCTACCAGCAAGGAACAGCTTTGTGAAAATTGGTTTCAGGTCCTTAAAATAAGAGTTGGGAGGGGGATTAGGGAAGGGTGAGGAGAAGAAGGTGTGTGTGTGTGTGTGTGTGTGTGTGTGTGTGTGTGTGTGTAGAACTAATGTTCACTCTGAATTTAAGGATTTAAAGTGCATTGTGTTGCCAGTAAGTCCAATCAGAATTGTCACACAATTTCCAGTCTGGGTTGAAATATATTCACTTCTCAGTCACGTCCTAATGACATGTAAAGAGGAGCTGGGGCAACGGTGGGGGAGAGATTCCTAGAACACTAGTAGGTGTAGGAGGGAGTGAAAAGGGACTGGCTGGCAGCAGAACCAGATGAGCCTGAATGAACGTATTGCCCTTTGGCTGCCTGGCAGTTTGCCTGAAACACAAGAAGAAAGGGCACCTTGGTTACTTAAACAAAAAAAAAAAGAGCCTAGATGTTTGTCCATGTTTATCAATGCCTGTCCTGAATCTCTTTTTTTCTCTTCCTTTAGAGTCCATAACTTTGTTCTATACTGCATAATAATAATAATAATAATAATAATGATAATAATAATAACTTGTATTTGTATATCACTTTAAAGTTTGCAAAGCACCTGACTTATGCTATCTTATTTAATCCTCACAACACAAGCCTGTGAGGTAGATGCTATTATTGTCTCCATTTTACAGATGAGGAAACTGAGTCTGAAGAAGTTAAATGACTTGCCCGAGGTCACACAAAGTCAGGGTCAAGATTGGTACTCAGATCTTCCTGACTCCAAATCCAAAATTCTATCCATTGCATCACCTCATTGCTTCATTACTATTATTTGCTGCCCCTCTATACGTCACTTCCTCATTCCTCATTCCCTTGACAGTAGGCTCATATTCTATCTCATGACCCCTGCTATCCTTCTATGTAACTGCCACATTCCTGTTGATGATCGCAGATCACACATTTTGCCTGAATCTTCTCTGTCCTCGACTCTCAAGACCTCCATCTGTATTTCATTATCACTGGACTCACATCCTGGACCTCACCATCACAGAACACTGCTCCCCCTTAGATTTCTCCAACTTGGGACTCCCTCTGGCCAATCACAGCCACTTTATTTTCTGCCTCTCTAATTCACCAAACCTAAACTGCTAAACTAGCACTTGGTCCTCACTATGACCTCCCTTTGGGTTCTCAATTCAGATTAGAAAGAATAATGGATTTGAGGTCAGAGAACCTGAGTTCAAATCCCAGCTCTTCTGTTTACTACCTATGTGACTTCAAGCAAGAACTTTGGGGCCTCAGTTTTTTCATATGTTAAATAAGGGTTGAACTAAATAGTGTATAAGGTCCTTTCCAGCTCTAAATGCTATGTGCCTAGGGTCCATTAGCCTCCTTCTGCCTGTACTCGACTACCTATCCAGTCTAGACTCCAGGGATCGGCCACCTCATAAAGTCTTCACTAACACTCCAGACTCCCTTGCTCTCCTTAACCTTCCACCATCTCCGTTGTGTCAATTCCCCAAATCACTCCCTTGTCCACTTTGCTTTTATGTTCACTCGCAATGCAAAGCATTGCTAAGGATGTCAAGAACTATTCTGGCTTGCTGCAAATCAAACTGTAAATCACAGCCAGAAGGCAGAAGAAATAGCCTGGCCAGGAAGAGAAGAGAGCTGGCTTCCTCACCTTAGCCCTCTTCACAAATGCCTCCTGGGTTGCCTTCTTGTTTTCAGCTTTGCCCCCCCAGGCAGCAAGTGCACTGGCCTGCAGGGCCCGTCCATAGGAGAAACTTAGCTTCCAGGGCTTGGGCAGTGGGCAAAGGTTGATGGCATTTAGATTGAGAGTTGCATCTTCTTCACTCATGCCTCCAGATAGAAAGCAGATACCTGGAAGATGAGAAAAACTTTGAAAATGAGAGCTGAGCCCAACTAGCCATCATCCACAGGGTTTGGTGGAAGTTGGGCAATGTCACACACACATACAAAAGTGAATGCATACTGTCTCTCCATTCCTTTTTTGCATGATTTATGTATGAAACTATGATATTTGTTGGAGGAAGATGTATGTACTATGCTGGCTTGGAATATGAGGAATTATAGAATTTGAGGATAACTGGATAGAAATAGACTCAGCTGATCTTTGTATTTCCCACAGCGCCTAGTACAAGGCTCTGTACACAGTAGATATAATAAATGTTAATTGAATTGAACAATATTTGAATGGAATGGAATATTATAGAATATCATTACTCCATAAGAAATGGCAAAAGGGATGGTTTCAGAGAAACTTGAGAGGACTTGTATGAACTGATAGAAAGGGAAATGAATAGAACCCAGAGAACAATTTATCCAATATCAACATTATAAAGAAAAACAATTTTGAAAGACTTAAGAATTCTAATCAATGAATTGGCCAGCCATGATTCCAGAGGCCCGTGGAAGACGCTTGGTTCCTACCTTTTGACAGAGATGCGATGGCCTCAAGGTTCAGAATGAGACATACATTTTGGGACAAGGCCAATGTAATTGCTTTGATTGACTATGTATATTTGTTTTGAGCGTTTTGCTTTGTTTTGTTTTTCATTTGGGGGATATATGGTTTGAGATATCATTGCCAACTCTTGAGAAACAACTGTGAAGGAAGGACTCTAAGACTCTTTCAGAAGCAGAAATAAAGAGGCTGAGAAGAAGCCAGGCCCATTGGGGGCTGGGGTACATGATAATCTGGGAGAGAAATAAAGCATTTACCTGGAACGGCAGCAGGGACCGTTCGATGGAGAGTTGTGACAGTGGCCAGAGCCACTTGTTCAGGGGTGTACTTCTTAGTGCAGGCATGTCCAGCTGTCACCATGTTGGGCTTCAGTAGTGTTCCCTCCAAGTAGACATGGTGGTCATTCAGGGCCTTATAGACAGCAGCCAGGACCTAACGAAGGTGGAGAGTCAAAGGGAAAGGTGAAACTATTTTGGTTTGTCTTGGGCACTCTCCTTACATTATTCTAATCGTAGCCCTTCCCATTCTCCTCTACAGCTAACATGTCCTGTAACAAGTAGGACATGAATTCTTCGATAACTTTTAGTACCAATCAGCTCAGAGATCATAATAATAGCTAAAATATATATAACGCTTACTATCTCTCAGGTCCTGGGCTAAATCATTTAGCTTTACAATTATCTCACTTCATTCTCACAATAACCCTGGGAGGAAGGTGTTGTTATTATCCTCGTTTCACAAATAAGGAAACTGAGGCAAATAGAGGTTAACCAGGGTCACATAGCTAGAATCAGAGGCAGGATTTGACCCCCAGCTCCTGACTGACTTACAAATATAACACTACTCACTATGCCTTACTGCCTCTATGAATTCCATCCTATAACAGTTGAGTGGTCAAAAAAATCATAGCATACCAGAGCATAAAGCTGGGAGACATCTTAGTTTACCCCTTTCATTTTACAGATCGAGAAATTATAGCCTAGAGGAGGGACGTGACCTATTCAAAGGCTCTGCCTTTCTTTTGTCCTCTCTTTTTTTGCTTCCCTTTGTTTTCTCTCTCTTCATTATGGTTTTAAAAGCTGCCTCCTGCAGCACACCCGCCTGTCTATGGGTTTAGGGTAGCACCTGCTTAGGTTAAGAAAGTTGGAAAATTATACATTTGCCCTGAGATGGATAAATTTGGCAAGGGCAGCTTTAGTTTTTGCTGACTGTTCTCAAAACAAAAGAAGTACTTTTCTGGGTTACCTAAATTATTTAAAGTGAGCCTGGATCTATTTGTATCCATTTGTGTTTTGACAGCAGTGAGAGCTCTTCCCTCACAGCCAGGGATTACCTTCTCAGAGACGTACTGGCAATGCTCAAGGTCATGATCTCCATCGGGGATGACTTCTGGCTCCACAATGGGGACCAGTCCATTCTGAAGAGGGAACAGAAGAGATGGACATTAGGTTGCCCTTTCCTCCAGCCCTTTTGGTGAGTGGAAAACCCACAATGGAGCTCCTTTATGGAAACAAAATAGCTGGGTGTTTGTGGAACAGCAAATGAAGGAAAAACTCAACAAAGTGAAAATGATCTCCCCTCAGAATGAGTGAGAAGAGAAGGAAATAGCTCCTAAGCTCAAGATTTCTGGCCTACCTGCTTGCCATAGGCCTCTAATGACAACTTTTGGGGGGTATTTAAAAACAATGCCCCTCAAATTGGATGGGGGTAAATAAAAGTCTTCATTGAGTGTTTGTGAGCCTGATAGGAGAGGACCCTAGAAAGAGGAGACCTTGTAGCCTCAATCACTATTGGGCAGTGTCCAGAAGCAAATGAGACAAGTAGGAGTCCAGACAAGCTCTCATCCACACAGTAGTCTCCAAAGGGGTCTGACACTAACCTACTCCCAGGTGATACTCACTGACATCCCATCTCCCCTCATTTGATTGTAAGCTACCTGACAGCAAGGCCTATCTTTATATCTTTAGTGCCAAGCATAATGTCTTAATAGTAATATCCAGTATTTATATAGGACTTTACAGTTTGCAAAGCACTTTACAAATATTTCATTTTAATCTTATAACAACCCTGGGGGTATATGCTATTATTATCGCCACTTTACAGATGAGGTAAACAGGTTAAGTGACTTGCCCAAGATCACATAGCTAGAGGCTAGATTTGAACTCAGGACATTTTGATTCCAAGTCCTCACTCTACGCACTGCTTCTTGCACATAGTTGACACCTAATACATGTATGTGTTGCAGTTTTATTGAATTATTTGTGACTTAGTCTGGACTCAACATACCCATCAGGAGCTGGAAAAGATCGAGCACAGTCAAACACTCTGCAAGCAGGAGGGGAGGGTCCCTTAACAGTTTGGTGGCCTTCGTGCTAGGCTGCAGGTCTCAGTCAGCTCCCTATCACTATTGCCTAGAGCAAACTTCATAGCGAAATCTGAAAAGCAGCTGGATGTTGATCAGCTATGACATTAGGAAAAGAGTGCCCAAGTGTGGTGAAATGGTATTAAAAAGAAAAAGGAGGGGCAGCTAGGTGGTGCAGTGGATAGAGCACTGGCCTTGGAGTCAGGAGGACCTGAGTTCAAATCTGGCCTCAAACACATGATACTTACCAGCTGTATGACCCTGGGCAAGTCACTTAACCCTGATTGCCTCACCAAAAAGCATAAAAAAAAAATGAAAAAGGAGCCAGATATGTTGGTGCATGGCAGTTGTTTCTGCTGCTAGGGAAGCTGAGGAAGACAGATCACTTGGGTTAAAGATTTCTGAACTATAGTAGGGCTAAAGTCTACTGGAGGGCCACCAGGATGAGGGTGACCTGCCTCAGCTTAGATAAACAGAGCAGGTCAAAGCTTCATGCCAATGAGTGTTGGGATTAAGCCTGTGAGTGGCCCCTGTACTTCTAGCCTAGTCTAGAAAGCAGACTCAATCTTAAAAGAAAGAAGGACATTTTTAAGTGAGTTTCTTAGCCTGACAGAAAGAAAAAATTCTACTTAAATTTCTAGAGCAAAAAGAACCAACATACACAAAAATATTTGTAGCAACTTTTTTTTTGTAGTGGCAAAGTGGAAACTAAGGTAGTTCCTAGCAATTGGGGAGGGGCTGAACGAGTTGTGTAATATAAAGGTAATAGAATACTGTTGTGCCATAAGAAATGAAGAAAATCATGCTTTCATAGAAACTTGGAATGATGTCTATGAACTGATACAGAGTGAAGTGAGAAGAATCAGATCAATTCATATAATAACAACCATGGTATAAAGACAACTTTGAAAAATTTTAAGAATTCTGATCAATGCAATGATCCACCATGAGTGGACTCATGGTACAGGATAATATATATATATATATGTGTGTGTGTGTGTGTGTGTGTGTGTGTACATATATATACACACACACTCACATACATACACATATACATATATACACACACATATGTATATATATGAGCATATATGTATGTATGTATATATTTGGAGATTACTGGCCAATGTAGGAATTTGTTTTCCTTGACTATGCATATTTGCTATAAGGGTTTTGTCATTGTTGTGATTTTTCAATAGTGGGGGCAGGAAGAGAAATGGGAGAGAGGAAAAAAACCAGATTTTTTTGCTAAATGAAAAAAAATAAAATTTAAGGAAAGTATATTGAAAATGGAGGAAGAAGGGGCCTTATGAAAGCCATCATTCAAACTGGAGGACACTAATATTCCTCTGTAAAGGCAGGACTCTAGAGGACTCCTCCTAAATCCAAAGTCTCAATTGTCATGCCCATGAGTGAGAGATCACTCTAGTTCAGCTGTCATTATGATTTATCATGAGTTGCCCAGCAAGAATGAGGTTGTCATTCTGCCTTTAAGCCTTTAAGCTTCTTCAGATTGAGGAACATGAAACCTGGGAAAGCTGTTGTGGGATACTAGTGTCTATGGGAGGCCTAGAGCAATACCTGCTGGCAGATGCTGGCATAGCGGGCCAGCGCATTGGCATTCTCCTGGATGGCCAGGCTGGAGGGACACTGGTCAGCGATCTTCAGCACAGCCCTCCACTTCCCAAAGTCAACACCATCCTTCTTGTACTGGGCGCAGCGCTGAGATAGTCCATCCAAGCCTGCAAACCACAAAAGTGAGAGAAAAGTCTTCTCTGAGAAGCTGCTGGAGTGCATGGAGCCTCTAACTGGGAAGCCTTGGGGCTTGAAGTAGCCATTTGGCACCTCATCCTCCATTGCTAGCTCCTTGGCTTCTCTGAACTCAGGATACATTCCTCTGTCCCTATTCCCTGAGCTCAGTCTTCTCTCTGTGGCTTATGTGCTGAAATGTCTAAACAATTAATTTGCATGTGACACAGATGGTGCTGTCCATGCTCTCAATGAGTCTTTAGTCAAGCCTTAAAGAGTTTTAAGGGCAGGTACAAAAATAAAGTCATTTAGAGTTACTCCTTCTGCAAAAAAAAGAAATGCCCTCTTGACCCCAGCTGCTGGGGAATTTGTGTTTTAGAAAAGTATGGGAATACAGAAATTCAGGTAATCCATACATCTAAGCAACCAGCCTGAGGACAAGTCCAAGCCCTATCATGTATTAACCACTTGACATCAGGCAAATGCTTTGCCTGCTCTGTGACTCAGTTTTCTCATTTGCAAAATAAATATAATAGCACCCATTCTTCCTATCTCACCAGACGGTTGTCAGGATCAAATGTGAGACTTCATGTGACTTTAACAGATGAGGAAACTGAGACCAAGAAAGATGAAGTGACTTCCCAAAGACCATATAGGTACTAAGTGGAAGAGCTAGGATTCAGTAACAGTCCTAGACTTGCTATCAGGTTCAAAGGAGATTTTATGCACAAACACACACACAGATCTGTATTTGTGCATACATATATAATATACATATGTGTATATCTGTGTGTATATGTCGATACATATATAGACCTACATGTGTATATGTATTGTAAATGTGGATTATCACATATGCACACATATCTGTATATATACATACTAAATAATAGCTCAAAATTAATAACCTAAAAGTTAAGTAACAGCTCAAATTAATTAATATTATATACATATTATGCACATATCTGTATGTTGTATATACACATACATACACAAAACTTACAAATTACATGTTATATATGTATGTACATACATACACATGTATACATGTATATACACAGATATATGTATACCTATCCAATTCACATATATAACATATATAATTTCATAAACTTTAAAGTACCACAGAAATATTAATTATTTTCAACTGTTACTTAACTTTTTATGGTTTTATAGCTTGTCTGTTCTATTTGATTGTTTTTATGGGCAGTTGTATGTTATCCATATTTGTATCCCCCACAAAGCTTAGCACAGGGCTTTGTCCCTAATGGGTGCTCAATAAGCATTTGTTGTTTGGATTACTGCTGGTACATGAACTCCTCAAATGTTTTGTAAATTTTAACTGGTTGCATTTCTACCCTTTGCTCTGATTGGTCTTATTGCATATTTAACACACGCAGGGATGCTCCATCATCACAGGAAGCAATATTCTCACCTTGAATGGTGGTTTCTCCATTTGTTCCTGCCAAGGGAGCACCACCTTGGTCCAGCTGCAAAAAAGAGATTATGAACATTCAGTAGATGCCAAAGCGTGAAGATGGCAAAGATCCTGGCTTTCTTAATTCAGAGCTACTCTCATTGCAAGACTGTTCCTAACCAAAGGCACTGCATTATGAGATGATGTTTGTATGAGAAGGAAGAATATGGAAGTGAAGTTTAGGAGATATTGGCTGTAAGGAGTAGTCAGGAGTCCTGTACTAGAGAAGGTTTTCAATCTTAGGTGGTGGCCAATATACTTGCCTGGGATTATGGAGATACTGAAAAGGGTTAGGAGAGCTTTGGAGAAAAGACCAGGAAGGGCTAGGCAGAGGTGGGGAACCTGCAGCCTCAAGGTCACATGCGGCCTTCTAGGTTCTTGGTTATGGCCCTTTGACTGAGTCCAAGTTTTACAGAACAAATACTTTTATTAAGGGGATTTGTTCTGTGAAGTTTGGATTTGGTCGAAGGACTGCACGTGAGGATCCCAACACCAAATCTGTTGGGACTGGAGGATAACGTAAGATAGAAGAAGAAATTGTATTTGAAGGGTTTGCTTGACCTCAGCATTACCCCAGTATTTCATATAAGGAGAGCCATAAACATTTTGGATTCCAGTATAAGTGATGTGTTTACTGGGTGCACTGACCTTGATTCCCACCACGATCCCCTTTTCCTTGAGGATATCTCTGAACCATTTTCCCTGACTATCCTTCTGATAGAGAGTCTCATGGAAAAGGATCACACCCCCAATGCTCAGGCTGATGGATTTGTCCACGGAGAAGAGGATTTCTCGGAACTGACGGCGGTTTTCTTCCGTGTTCTCTACCTTGATCCTCTGCAGGCGATTGCCCATGGTACCTAAAACAGGCAGCAAAATATGGAAGATGGGGAGAGGAATGGGTCAAAATGGTGTCTGAGACCAATCAGAACAAACAGTAAGGGGTAACTTGACTTTTATACTTAACTCCCTATAGCTTCATTGAAATGGTACAGCATAATGGATAAAGTTCCGGAGTTGGAATCAAGAAGACCTGGCTTTGAATTCCAACTCAGACATTTACTAGCTATGTGGCCCTGAGCAAGTCACTTGACCACTCATTTTCCTCCTTTGTAAATTAGGGATGCTACTATCTACAGCACTTGACTCACATGTTTGTTGTGAGAGCATATAGGTAAAGTACTTTGCAAACATTAAAGCACTGTATAAATGCCAAAGGTCTTTTTGACCTAGAAATCTTAAAACTTCAAACATTCTATGGAAAGGACACACCAATGAATCTCAGTCGAGACCCAGTAGGGGAGCAGGTAGGCTGCTCCCCTACAAAGAGTTGAACCTGCCAGCCAGGGTCAGGTGAGTGATTATTTGCTACTAGCAAATACCAGGTATTTAAGACCCTCATCATTCGTTACTGGGTGAATAAACTGGCTCTGGGTAGGCCCAAATTCAGCTTCTGTGATAAGAGGGTTACTGACTTGGGTTCAATGATGTGACTTGAACCTCGCTTTCTGTTTGTTGCATTTTCTCCCCTGTTCCCATTTTAGACGTCTATACTTCTGACCCCAGCTTGGAAACCTGGTCCTGACTCCAAATTGCTCACTTGGCTTAATAATTCGCCAGTGAACCGCACTCTAGTAGATCTGGAAGGAAGAAAATGAAGAAGTTTTAAGGAAATTATTAGCCCAGTAGAGAAGGCGGTACATATAAACCCAGGTTGAGGGTGGGGAGGAGAGGAGGCAGTGGAAAAAACACATCCTTCATAGTATTCTGTTCAAAGAGACATACAGTACTTGAGGAGAGGAAGGATGAAATGGAGGACAAAAAATACTCACAAAACTATTAGGATTGGTGGGGGTGGAAGGAAATGGAGAGGGCTCCATCACAGCAAAGCTATGAGACCATGGGGAAGATGGAAGGATGAGTATTACTGGCTGTCCTTTTCCTTCTGGCGATTAGAATTTCACTTGCCCCCTGAGTTACCTACTGTCAAGGAGAGAGGTGGGTTTTGTATGTCCGGCTTTGCGGCCGAGCTGCCTGAAGTACTGAGGAATCATCTGTGATCCAGTGTGTGCCCCAGTGTCAACAGATACTGCTTCTTTGGTTTACACCTTCTGAGATCTCTCCTCCTTGCCCTGCACAGGGCGTGTTTAAGAAGGTCTAGGAGCCTGATAGTCAGGTGCTACAGATGGGAGGGTCAAGGAATCTGATGGAGACCAGACTTCTTACATGACAAGACAATGGAGTCTGGGCTCCTTCACTCTTAAGTTCCCCATAAGCCTTTACGTGAACAATTTTTCTCTGAGGGTTTACCCTATTTGTGAAGAAGGATGAAGAATGAAACATTAAAGTTTGTTTTGATAAGGATAGTGCCTTTTCAGAAGTTTGTTTTTTTTGTTTGTTTGTTTTTTTAGGCAATTGGGGCTAAATGACTTGCCCAGGGTCACACAGCTAGTAAGTGTCAAGTGTTTGGTCCGAGGCTGGATTTGAACTCAGGTCCTCCTGACTTCAGGGCTGGTGCTCTATCCACTATGCCACCTAGCTGCCCCAGAAGTTTATTAAGGATTATAGCACAATGCCCCTTGTACTCACCAACAGACTCATCTGCAGCCAGGATCCCTTTGCCATCGGCAACAATGCGTTTGGCAATGTCTGAGAGTTCCTTCTTCTGCTCTGCAGTGAGTGCTGGATAACGGTGGGCCATGGTGGTGGGTCTGGAAGAGAAAGAAAGGAAAAAGTGAAACACTAATAGCTGGAAAATGGAGGTATGGGCTCACAGAGACTCAGAGTTAGAAGGGATCTCAGAGACCATCTATTCCAACTCAAAATGGCGGTTACAGAGACATGTAGACACGTGCTCATCATCTTTATCGTTATCATCAACAGCAAATGTTTACTATGGGGACCACTCTATACAGAAGTCTGTACCAGGTGCTGGAGAAGAGGATGACGTTTTAAGGGAGACATAGTGGTTCATGTACTCTGTACATCCTATCAATTTGGCTTTGTATTTCTGCAGGGCCTTTCCTGGGATGAGGCAGGCCAAGCGTTGGAATCAAGTGTCAGTTGCCTAGAAGATTCTTTATTGTGAGCAGTTGTCATTTTACTCCCTTAGGGGCTGCACCCTTGAGATGACCAGAGCTATCTTTTCTCAGGCTTAATGAATAAAATTGTTTCTGGCAGGGTTGTACAAAGACCATGGACTTGGAGTCAGAAGACAGAGTTACAAGACCTTCATTTAAAAGTTTTTGAATCTCCTGAGAGCTATTCCAAGAAAATAAATGTCTATTTCATAATCCAGTGGAGCAAAGGTGCCCTAGGTGAAGGGGACTGGATTTGATGAATTTTGGGATCCTTTTCACTTCCAAAATTCTGTAGGTACATCATTAAAAAGTGATATGGGCAGGACCCTAAACACTAGACTAGATAGGTAAATGAATTTCTATATCTTCAGTGCCCACTGACCGTTGACTGATTTGAAGATCACTCTCCCTTCCCAAGACTCTTTGGAAACTTCCATCAGTGTAGACATAGTGACCATTTCCCCCCACATTTTCCAAGACAATCTCAATTTTGAGAAAAGAAAGTACACTTCAGTGAGACTTTTCAAAAAGTATATTTTTTGTTGGACCACATGTCCCAATTTTTGGTTTGGAAATTAGGTATAGAAGTGCTATGACAGCTTGAGGATGTCAGAGAAGAAATCGGTCAGGATATTTAATTCAATAAGCATTTATTAAGTGTCTACTAGGTACCTGTGCTGAATGCTGGGGATAAAAAGGCAAAAAAATATTAATTCTTCTCTTGAAGGACCTTGCTACCAACTCAAGCAACACTTATGGATGTTATAAAAATCTACTATAACTCCTGAAACTTTAAAGAAGGAGAAATTTTGGTTGGCTATAAGGACAATCAATTAATCAACAAGCATTTATTAAGTGCTTATACAAAGAAAAAAGTGATACAATTCTTGCTCTCAGTGAACTTACTTTGTGTTGGGGGATATAAGATGTACATACATACAACATGCATACATACATACATAAGTATATAGAAAACAAATTCAAAACAAATTCAGGGATATTCAGGGAAGGATGTTGTAGTAGCTGGGAGAATCAGAAAAGGCCTCATATAAAAGGTAGTGATTGAATTGAGCTTTGAAGGAAACTAGGGTTAAGGAAACTTGATTGGTTGATAATAGGCATGAAGGACAGCCAGTGCAAAGACATGGAGATGGAAAGAGGGAATGTGGAACAGCAAGAAGGCTGATTTGGCTGGCCTGTAGAGAAGGGAGTGGAAAAAAAGGTGGGGGACTGGGTTCCTATGGAAAATTATATAGTCTCTATTCCTGGAGAACTTGAAGAAAAAGATGGACAGTCACACATCTTGTATGGTCGAGACATTTCACCCATGTAAAGGTGGAGAACTGGGGCAGAAGATCTATCCCAGGGCATTTGAATTTAGTTATAAGCTATGATGCTTATATTTAGGAATATTCAGGCTAGAAGTTGCCTGCATACTAATCGGGCTTGAAAACCAGGGCTATGAAAATACCCACTGAGTAATCTTTAACCACAGAGAAAGAACTGAAAGAATCTGGGATAAAAACTAGGCAGCCTCTAAAGAAAACATGACTTTCTGGTGGGCATGGGTTATTTCCATGGATTGCTTTTGTTTTTTTGTTTTTGTTTTTCTTCCTGATGATTTCATGGCACTACTAAAAACAAACTTTTTTTCTCCAAATTTATCTTGCTGCCTTTTAGCTAGTATTAAAAAAAAAAGAACTGGACACAAAAATTAATACAGTTCAAAGGAAGATAAAGGGGCTAAAGGTCTGCACTAACATCAGCACAAATATTATCCTCTGTTAATCATATAACAGAGACTCAGGACAAAGGCCAACCCTAGGAGAGTGGAGGCCTGATAAGGAGGGGTGAGGTTTCCAAAGGAAAAATTTGTGAAGCCTCTATCAACAGCCATGGGGCATTTGCATCTGAAACCTCAGGATGTCATTTATTTGAAAATCAGGATGTATGAAATTTGTGTGAGTTAGTCAACATTTACATTTACACTTACTTTGTGCCAGGTTCTGTCCTAAGTGCTGAGAATAAAAAGAAAGAGGAAAAAGAAATAGTCCCCGCTCCCAAGAAGCTCATAGTGTGATGGGGGAGACAATATGCAAACAGCCTTGGACTGGAGTAGGGAGCCACTTGCGGCACGGAGACCAACCAGGAGATGTGAGGTAATGGGGGTCTGCTCAACAGTGGTAGCAGTGTGGGTGGAGAGAAGAGAATTTGGCTGGAGTTAAGAAGTCATGGTGGTGGGGAGGGGAGAGGGAAAGAGTGAATGGGGAGTTGAAGATGACACAGTAGGACTCGGTGGTGATGGGGAGACAATGAGTTTGGAGTTTGAGATGTCTACATGATATCGAATTCCAGATATCTATTAGGCTGTTGGAGATGCAAGACTGGAATTTGGGAGAGAGATTAGGACTGGGAAAACAGATCTGAGAAGCATCAGCATAGAGATGATGATTTAATCTATTGTTGAATCCATTGGAGCTGATGAGATCACCGACCAAAATAGTACAGAGGAAGAAGAAAACCCAGGACAGAGCCCTGGGGCACACCAGTGTGTGATTTTGTGTAGAGGTGTTAGGATATGGAGGAAGGTGCCCTGACCTCGGTGATTCCATTCACTTTAGAGATGTTCAGGGCAAATAAAAGGGAGGTCAATGCAGATCCCTACTTTTCATAGTAAAAATATAATTAGGATCACACACATTTGCTAGAAGCCACGAGCCAAAATATGGTGGGGAGAGGAGGAGAATTTGAACAAAACCCCCATTTTAAAGTGATAAGAAGCCACAACTCATGAACTCATAATTCTTGGGCTTGTTTTTGCAATTAACTTTATATTGTATTATTATTCACATTATCGATACTATTAAAAAAACTTGATTTGGAAGGCAACTTTGGCAATAGAGTTGAATAATAGACTTTCAGAACCCTTTAAGACAAATATTAAATTATAGAACGGATGTGGCTTGACTGCTTACTTCACAGAGTTCCTATCGATAAGGCACTTTGTAAAATGATTCAGAAATATGACCTAATATCACAGTGGGTTGAGTACCGAGCATGGAGTCAGAAAGACTAATCTTCCCAAGTTCAAATCTGGCCTCAGATTTGTGTGATCCTGGACAAGTCACCTAACCCTGTTAGCCTCGGTTTCCTCATCTGTAAAATGAGGTAGAGAAGGAAATGGCAAGCCACTCCAGTATCTTCATCAAGAAAACTCCAAAAGGGGTCATGAAGAGTCAGACACTACTGAAAACAACTAAACAACATTATCTTGTTCAATGCTCTCATTTTACAGATTGGGAAACTGAGGCCCAGAAAGGCAAAGTGATTTACCCAAGGTTACAAAGCTAATCAACAAGTAACAGATCTGGGACTAGAACCCAGGGCCCTTGATGTGACAGCCAAATGATTTTCCACCTATGTCACACACACCATCCTAGACTAAAGACCAGGAATGTTAGGTTGCTTTTTCTAATCTAACTATGCCACATTAAAAAAAAAATCACTTCTCTCAGTATTTCAGTTGCTTATCCATGGAATGGATACTCATGGGATGGATAAAATTGTTCCTTCATCCCAAGCTTCATCCTCACAGGGCTATTACAAAGATGTTAATAATCGGCAAAGATGTGTAATAGAGAAGGAAGGAGAAAACTAGATTTATCAGGATGCTAAAATACAATCAAAAGAAGGAAGCTTTCTTTATGTAGGATCTCTTCAGTCTGAGATTCTGAATCTTCTTCATGTTACTGACTTTTTATGAGTACCTTGTACATTAACCTTTTGCATTTAGTAAGACCTCACAAAGCACCTGTTTTTATAGGATTCAAATATAAGGAGGGTAGAATAAAATGAATGTGCCTCTGGTTCTGATAAGATAAAGTCATTTTAGCCTGGTTGGTCATCCCAGTAATATTCAGCAAAATGGCTCAAAACATTATTGCTAGAAGCAATATCTAGTCCTACTCCTTTGAATTAATTGTCTCTAATGAGTTCCTGGTGCCACAGTTTGAAATCCAGTAGTACCCAGGAACTTGTACTTACAATTTGGTGGAGAGAATCTTTGAGTGATGTTAGAAGTTCCTGATGAGGAGGCAGCTGCCAAATAGGACGAATCTGGGAGTGTGCAGACTTTTTATAGTGCTCCAAGCAAGTTGCCTTTTGTGTTTTGTTTTACGTTTTTTTTTTTTTTTAACTTTTGCCCTTTCTTCCCTCCCTCAACACAGTGGAGAGGGAGGTGTCTTACTCAGCACTTTCAATTGGCTCATCAACAACCAATCTTGCCAATCACATTAACAGGAGCCTCATTTAGAATCCTCAAATGTTTAAGTTGGAACTCAGAGGTCATCTAGTCCAAATTTCTCATTTTACAGAGGAGGAAACTGAGGCCCACAGAGAGTAAGTAACTTGCCCAAGATCATTGCTAGTTGGAGGTCAGTTCTTCTGATTCTCTATCTCTTGGTCTTTCATCCACACCTCTATTATCATTCTTATTTCTTTTGTACTTTAATTTGTCTCCTGAACTGGCAGCCCCAAAAAACAAACATAACTCCCCCTCCCAGGAATTCAAAATTATGGTCTAATCCTCTGTGCCTGTCTAATGGTACCACTTTCCCAGATCCTGTGCAGTGGCTCTTTCTATTGGCTTTGCCTATGAAGGAAGCCAAAATTAGATTGAAGAAAATTTAAATGTTTTGTTAGAACCCTCCATACTTCCTAGGACAAGAGGAAAAAGGGGGGTAGAATGCTATCTTCTCAATTTGTTTTCTTATCCATTTCCTCCATGATTTTGTATTTGCTCTATGTGTATATGTATTTATACATATACACGTGTGTATTATGCAATTAAATGTATATGAGCTGTCATTTCCCCTCCCAAATAGAATGTAAACTTTGAAGTCAGTTATTTTTGTCTTTGGTATCACCAGTGTATGGGTATACAAAGCATACAGTGTCAGACACATAAATTCTCACTGAAATGAATTAAATTGAATTGAATTAGAAAAAATATTGAATTTGTAATCGGGCACCAAACAAAAGAATTCCCTAGGAAGCTTCATTTAAAATTGCTTCTATGAAACTGATGGATATCTCTCCAATGGAAAGGGGAATAAATTGACATGACACGCTATAACTTTGGAGATTATGTGGGGTAATAAACTATTCATGTTAACAAAAGGAAAAGGAAGATTGAAATGAGACAGCTTGAGATTTGGAGAGAATTTTCTTGTACAGAGCACTGTTATATTCTGAAATAGTTTCTTCAGGAATTAATAGAATCTTATTCTCTGGAGGTCTCATATTGATTCTGAATTGTCTGGGACAATTGAGGTTATGGTTTTCTTTGAAGATGAAGGGAAAACTAGCTGACTTCTGAAGGTCCCTCCCAAGGTTCCTCTTACTTATCATATTTAGGTAAATCTTAGCCTCCTTTTCTCCTGTCTATGATCCTTAAAATCCAACAAATGTTTGCTGAGTAGGTGCTTTGTATAGGATGGCCCAATAGATAAAGGACCTGTGAGATTCTTTAGTTTGGTTGAGAGGTCACATGGTGTAGTGGAAAGAACACAGGATTGGGATTCAGAGAACCTGTTCTTAGCTCTACCATTTACCATATATGTGGACAAGTCATTTTGCTTCTCTGTGCCTCTGTTTCCTCATCTGTAAAGTGAGGGAATGAAACTAAATGATCTCTAAGGTCACTTTTTAGCTTTGGATCCGATAAACTCCTTTTATTAAAGGGGGAGTCCTGGGCAAGAAAAAGAAGTGGAGTATGGTGGTGACTGGAAAGTCACTCATTCAATAAGCAATTATTAAACAATTCCTATGTGCCAGGCATTGTGCTAAATGCTAGTAGTGGGGGATAGTTCTGGGAAACTTTGTCTAGAGCCTACTAGCCTCACAAGGAAATACTTTGCAAGAAGATGCCAGGCTGTTCCTTTATTAAGCTTTACTAGATGCATTAAGACCAACACAGCAACTGTTATCCTCCAACATTTTATAACTTTGGACTATATCAATGAAGAAAGAACTCTGTGCCTGTGAAACCTTATCTTCTTCCTTCTTTCCAAGGGGGTATTGTTTCACGTGAACAGCACCCAAGCCACGCATGTCAGAACAATGTAAAGCTTTGTGCTAGGGCAGTGGCCAGGTCTGAGCCCATCCCCTCCAACTCAAGAACTGTTTGGTAGCATCAGCATTTGAAGGGGTGCCCAAGGCATGATAGGTAACTAAAACTCAAAGGTCAGAAAAATGATGCCATGTACTCACTGAACCTCATAAAGCAACACATCCTGGGCAGACACAGCATGTGAATGTAATGAAATATTACTGAGCTATAAGAAAATATGTGTACAATGAATGCAGAGAAGTATGGAAAGATCTACACTTACTGATGCAGAGTGAAGTGAACAAAGCCAAGAAAACAACATACACAATGACTACAACAATGTAAACAGAAAAAACAACCACACACCAAAAAACAAAAGTAAATATAACAAAATTATAAAGATTCAACAGTACTCAAATGAAGAGATATGAAAAGACACTCCCTAACGCAGCCCTGTATAGAAGTGAGAAGTCCCTACTTTTTTTTTTTTTTTGGTAAGGCAATCGGGATTAAATGACTTGCCCAGGGTCACACAGCTATAAGTTTCAAGGGTCTGAGGTCAGATTTGAACTCAGGTCCTCTTAACTCCAAGGCCAGAGCTCTATCTACTGCGCCACCTAGCTGCCCCTTTTTTTTCTTTCTAAACAATACTATTATATGGGATGGCTTTCTGGGAGACGTAGGGATACTTGGGATAACTGTGATGATGTAAGAAAAGAAGATATCAATAAAAATTTATTTTTAAAAAATGGAGGTGGGGGGGAAGAAAGAGAGAGACAGGGGGAGAGAGAGAGAGAGAGAGAGAGAGAAAGACAGAGAGAGAGAGAGAGGATTTCCTAACTCAGACAAAGAAAGTTCTAAAATGAGCAACTATGAATTCAAAATTCAGCTTTGATCCAGAGATTCTTAACCTTTTTGTTTAGCAATTTGGTAAAGCCCAAGGACACTTTCTCAGAATAATGGTTTGTTGTTTACATTCATAATTTAAGAAAGTGCTAAATTTCAGTTAGAGGTTAATGAAAATAAAGGTGTATTTTTTTTCCCTCATCTAAGATTAGGGACTACTTGAAATCTACCCACAGACCATCACACCCTCCCCCTCCCCACTCTCTGGGTTCATGGACCCAGGTTGAGAACTCCTGCTTTAGAACCTTCTATTTCCAAAGGTAAATTCATAAGATTACACATGACCATTACTTCTCTAGCCTCTTTGCCAATATCCCTATCTTAAACCCACTCTATACCCTAGATAGCCACACTTTATGATTCTAATTATTGTGTACATCAACTAAGAAGACAAGATCCATATTTTTAATAACCTCTATTGGGTCCAGCTGACATATCTCAATACACATGGGTCTTTTTGAGCACAAGCTATGGGCAAGTAATGAGAAAGGAACTAATATGTAAAACTAATATGTATAGCTGTTGCTATAATGACTTTCAACAATGAGATTCTGTTTTTTGGTGACTGACTCAGCTATGGCAGTTAAAATGGTGTTTTCTCATCCATCATCAACTGGACAGAAATTGTCTGAATCAGTCATGTGACAAAGTGGCTAGCTTAGTGCCTGGCATATGGTCGGAACTTAATGAATACTTGTTCAATTGGACTGAATTTGATCACAAAACCTCAAAGTTAGAAAGTACTTCTCAGCAGCCATTTTGTCCAATATACCTGAAAATGAATCCCCTCTACAAGACAAATGACAGGTGGTCATGTCATCTTTGCTTAAAAGTCTTCAAAGAAGGGAGGCCGCCATGAGGTATCTCATTCTATATTGAATAGCTCAAACTGGTAGGAAATTTTTCATTTTATCAAGCATAAATTTGCCTTTCTGTAAATTCTACCTATTGCTACTAGTTCTATCCCCTTATACGAAGCAGAAGACGACTAATCCTTTTTTCATATGGCAGCCAGCTCTTCAAGTACTTGAAGGGAGTTTTAACCAGGGGGGTGCAGGAGCCAGCTCATACTGGCTCTTGGGAGAGGCAGTTATTAAATTTTCAGTGCTAACATTTGCGCCCAGGAAATTTGTGGCAAAGTCAGGACTTCACTTATTGTTTTGTTGGTTGTATACACTTAAGAAAGTTATAAAGAAAATGTTAATAATGCAGATTAAATTTAAAAGTTTTTTTTTCCTGGAAAGTTGGTTGTTAAACAGTTATCAGAACATTTCTGGGTATAACATCCCTCCGTTCATGAGTTGTTCACTGGAGTGGTGAAAATCATCACACCATTATCTTTACCTGTGGCCACATAGGTATGGCTAGAGAGATACAGTGGTTGTATCTACATAGGTCAAGAGAAAAATAGAGTATTAAATTTGAAGATTGGAGTAGAAAAATGCCTGGATTGGGAGTCAAGGGGTCTAGGTTCTCTTCTGAGCTCTGCTATAAACTGCGTATGTGACCATAGAAGAGCCACTTCTGTTCTCTGAGCCTCAGTTTCCTTACCTGTAAAATGGGTAAGAGGTAGGAAAAAAATGGAAGAGGTAGGGAAGTAGAGTAGATGAACACTGAGCTCCAAGCTCTCAGTTCTAAAATACTATTTCTATAGAACTTTTCGTTTGTATAGTGATTTCACAAAAAGTCTGTCATTTGATCGTTCTGATAGAGATGTGACTTTCATTCCTGGCAAAGGCAGAATACAAGGCAGAATGGCTAGAGTCGAAATATGGGTCTTGAAGGAAAGGAGAACAGGATGTGAAACAGGAGGGATATTGCGGTCAGGATAGTGATGGGGAATGGGGGTCAAGCTGGAAGGGGTTATCGGTAGGAGTAGGAAGGCTGGAAAGAAAAGACTGGAAAGAGAAAACAATTCACATTTGCAAGACAAAGGAGTTTTGAGGTATTTTTGTGTGTGTTGTGCTGTTATTGTTGCTGCTGTTGCTTTGCCTGTTCATATTTTATAGACTATTAGGGGTGAAAGATACCTTGGAGATTAGCTTGTTCAATCCTCTCTTGCTTCTTTTTATTGTAATTTGAAAATTAACTATATTTGAAAATATATGCGT